CTGGTTTTTGGAAATGACCTTATTCATCTCATAATGAATATCAAAATTGATACATCTCTTGAAAATGATGTCCAAGAACTTTTATACCAAAGTCCGGGAAAGTCTATTCCTGGAATGATTTCAGAATATCAGCAAAAAGATGATGAATGGACTCCTTTCTTTTGGATTAAGAAAGCTAATCTAAATCCACGGGTTCATACATTTATTTGGAGAGCTTTCAATAATGCAATACCAACTTTTCATTTCCTGAAGCATAGAAAATTAAAAGACAATGACCTTTGTCCAAGATGCAATGCTGGCAAAGAAGATTTAGAGCATATTATCGGTGGGTGTTTGAAAATCAAAGAGGTTATCACAATTATAAAAAGCTGGGGATTTGTTTTGCCAGATTTCAATAACATTCAAGATTGTTGTAAATGGATTCATAATATCCACAAGAGTAAAGGTATGATATTAAATCTCTTCTTTAATGTCATGTATTATTCATGGAAAGCTAGAAACAAGTTGATACACGAAGGCTATAATGAAAGTGCAATCTCTATTGCTGTACAAGCTATCAGTCAGATTTCTTATTCTAAGATTATTTTTAATCAATTGCCGGAATTATGGGATGTTAATCAGTCTCCTAGACTGTTCAATACTTGGCATCCCCCTCCACCCGGTTGGTTAAAAATCAATGTAGATGCTACTCTTTCATCTTCGTACAAAGCAGGAGTTGGAGGCATAATTAGAGATTGTAAAGGAAGATTCCTTTTGGCTTTCGGAAATACTTGCATTCATTGGGATATTTATCAATTGGAACTCTTGGCAATCAAAGTATTGAGGAATGTTATCAAAGATTGGATGTTCAAGTACAAATGAGCAATTATTGAGAGTGACAACTTCAATGTCATCAAGGTTATTCAAGATGCTAAGGAAAAGAATTTCAAAAATCAAGATGAGTTAAATTTCTTCAATGATTTTAATTATGTGATTTTTAAATGCATTTCTAGAGAAGGAAATAAACTAGCCGACCTTTGTGCTAGTTATGGTATCCTTAGTAGCTTTATTTGGGAAGACATACATTTGGATAATATTCCTCCTTCATTTGTTCAATTGGTGAAGGAGGAATCATGCTTGTAGTTCTTTTTTCTGTTTTTCTTTTTTAATGCATTTATGCTTCTTCAAAAAAAAAAAAAAATCTTTCTTTCAATTTATTCGAACCTAGGGTTAACAATTGAACATCCCATTAGACTTAGGATCTAACCCTAGTCTTCCTCCTTCTCCATTCACTTGACTTCAACTAGGTGAATGATCCTATCTCTTTGAATACCAAATACTCAAAGAACATTCATGAAATTTTGTAACTCTCAAGTTACATCTTCCTTCAACCGCAAAGTTGTAGGGAGTTCATCAAATCATTTATTCATTGGAACACAAAAATCAATGAATAATCTCTTGGATGTAGGATTCAAATCCAAATCCCCCCTTCTCCATTCACTCAACCCCAACTAAGTGAATGATATCTTCTCCTTGAACACCAAATGTTCAAGAGATTTCCTTCAACTTGTAACCCATAAGTTGCTTGTTGCTTCTCCCTTCTGCAACTCAAGAGTTGTAGGAAAAAAAATCATATCATTTACCTAAATAAATTAGATGAATAAAAATCTCTTTCTTTGGACAACAAATGTTCAAAGAGTTTCCCCCAAGTTGCAACCTCTAAATTGCACCTTCCCTCCCAAACAAAAAGTGTAGAAGATTTCTCCATTCACTTAGCCTAAATTAAGTGAATGTGAGTACCTCTCTTTGAACATCAAATACTCAAAGAAACTTTTCCAACTTGCAACCCATAAGTTGCACTTCATTTCTCCCTTTCTACAACTCAAAAGTTGTAGGAAACTACCTCATTCTCCTAAGACTCCAATTTATAAGAATGTACATCCTTCTTTGAACACTAAATATTCAAAGAATGTTCATGAGGTTGTAACTTCCAAGTTGCATATTGGATTGTCTGCGTTATGGGCACTTGCCCTTAAGCGGTTAGTATAGAAATATATATATTTTTCGTGCAGGTGGCCGTGTCCAAAGGGGGGTGCTCATAAATAATAAAAAAGCTTGCATGATGGGTGCCGCTTAAAACTCACCAAAGTGATGTGACCAATAGGGTAGAAGCAGATGTTTTGACACTCTAAGTGCTAAATAAAATCCTGGTTGTGATATTTCATTATATAAATTGTCATCTAACTCTGTTTTGCACGTTTGAGTCTATTCTTTTCAAATATGTATTTGATAGAAGTATGATGTAATTAAACTTGTGAGGGACTGGATTGAAAGAAGGGGGTGAACCAGATGGATGTACCTACGAAAGGTGAAGCCTGAGGTTTACTTGGAAGCTAAAGCCTGAAGACCCCACAAGAAAGAGTCTGTAAATAAAATTTGACTGGGTTGTATAATGACAGACAATTCAGCTGCCAAACTTAATTGTAATAATTTAGACATTACTTATATTTTTTGCTTTAGTTGATTTGCATTTCTTAATATGTGTTGATTGTTTACTGGGTGTGCAATAGAAAAGCATGCTTTTCCTAGGTTTCTTTCTTGCTTTGCCTGGATTTTTTGATATGGTAGGCTATTTCTACTCTTTAAAATATAAACAACTTAAAATCAATTTAGGCTTCATGATTTTCCAACAAAAGAAAATTTGTATGACTCTCTTTCAAGGAGCCAAATTTTCAAAAGCTTAAAATAAACATGCATAGTCAAAAGTGTGACTCATGTAGAAAAACCTTCACTTAAAGACTAGATAACAAAAAGTCTATTTTCTATGTGAGTCAGCATCTGCATACTTTGCATACATAGGCATCATGATCTCAAAACCAAGCTATAAGCCCTACCTTCTAAATAAAACAACCCTCCACTCTTCATATGTATTGAGACCGAAAAACATGATTTTAAAAATGATTAGGTGGGTCTAGCTGGTAGTCCTCTCCAGGCAGGATAATAAATCTAGAGGTCGGGCTGACTATACCTCATGTGAGATGTAATTTATAAGTACCTCATGCATTCCGTTATACTTAAGTTCGAGACACTACCTCTCGATAGTCCTAACCTTAGTTTTAGATCCGAGGCAAATGGTTGATTCCAATCACCATACAAGTCATCACCTTTCGGGCAGTTCCTATAACATACGTTGTTGGAATGTAAGCCTCAAACTTCTAATAAAAATATCAACTTGAACAAAAATTAGATTTCTAAAATGTAAAGCCCAGTATAAGATAGTTCGAGTACCTCCGAGCTTCCCTCAGAATCAAGTACTCCTACGATTTTTTCCTTTGTCTCTCATTTCAAAATATGATTCTAAGTTGATTCTTTCACCCTTTGAAATTTCTAAAGGCCAAAATCTTTAAACAAGACTTTCATGGATTCTTAAGAAATCAAACTTTAGCTAATATTTAAATGACTCTAAAAAGAAAAGGAAAACTACAAGTTTAATCAAAAAATTTTTCAAGCACCAAAGCTTGAGATGTAATTAATATAAGCGGCTTGCTCTATGGGGTGTCTGTACTTCAGAAATAAATAAACCTCATTCGACCAAACATCGAATGAGGGAATCTTCATTAAATTGTAAATTTTATCATTGAGTCTATAAGGAAATGATATTTTTACTCTACGGGAAAATATATCATCATTCTTATGCCGTACTCAATCATAAGGTATGCAATCCGTTTGAGGACAACAAAAATTCTCCAACAGATTTTTCTGGCAAATTCACTAGGGAGGATGCCACTTTTCATTTAAACTGGTAGTTTTCAATTAGTCATTCTAAATATTGGCTAAAGAGCATTTACAAAATATATTTTGTATTGTATTTTTCTCTCATTTTCAATGTTGGGTTGAGTGATGTCAATACAAGCAAATGCATTTCAAGATGAACTTTCCAAATTATTTATAAAAAAATGAATGAGAAAGATGAACTTTGATTTTCCATTCAATCATTTAAAAAAAAATTCATATTCTCAAATATTCAATCTCAAAATCTTCTCTTCATTGTAATTGTTGTCATTGTATAAATCTACAACCAAACAATGTCAAATGGTGTGAGATTTCAAAATCTATCAAATTCATTCATCATTCATTAAATTCGAGTCATAGTCGTGGGTGGTCAATGATTCAAGTCAGTGTTAGAAAACCCAAAAAAAGTGCAGTGATTAGTTGATGATGTGTTGATTGGATTTAAAGAAATACAGCACTAAGATTGATACGAGGAATTTTGAATTTCAGGAAATCTTCTGATAGTCAGTTGTTTGAGAACTCAGTGAAGCAAGATGGAAGTCAGACTAGTTTTCAAGTTTGGAGATAATCTGTAGTTATCATTTGATCAGTCTTGCTTTGTTCCTGGGTACATGATCAAGTTTGGGTAAAAATTTGATGACATGGAGGTTCTTTTCCAAGGTCCTATACCTTATGAGGCAAGAGCCTTAAAAAATCAACCTTCATCTGAAAAGAAAGTTTTGGAAATAAACTTGTCTGCTAGGGAGAGGTCACATACTCAGAGAAGTAGGAAGAGAGTGTCTGAGTTATCTCCAAAAGCTTTAGCCTCTCGACCTTCTATTTTCAATAGGTTGACCTTCCATATGATTCTGAAATCAGATGTGAGACAGACAACATTAACTCTACTGTTTCCTAAAAAGAAATTTATTGAGAAAGAATATAAGCCAGTTCAGCCTTTAGCAGTTGTCTCAAGTGTTCCAGAGCCTGAGGTTCCTTTTCGGTCCAGTCAGTATGAGAAAGGGGGCAGTTCTACTTATGTCCTGACTAGATCCCAAAAAAGGAACAAGTATAGGAGATTTAAAAAGACAATGGAAAAGGACGAGCAAGTTAAGCTAGATGCTGAGATGATTGACCTCTCTCCTCTTGCCGAGGAGAGTAGGTTTTACCCTCTTTCTGTGTCTAGTGGTGAGGAGGATGTTAGAAAGATAGCTGCATCACCCCTTAGGCCCCCACTTAGAATTTTTGAAAGCACTCCTGAGGAGAGAAAGAAGCAGTGGGACAATGATATAAGGAAGATTTTTCAAAGGGTAGCTGTTGAGCACCATACTACAAAAGAGGCAATGATTAAGGCTATGAAAAATACAATCACCAAAGATTTGGTAAGTTACTTCTAAAAAAGGATAGAGATCCTGAGGATAACAAGTTGATTATACAACCAACCCAGAGGAAAGATGCAAATTCTCTAGGCAACCACCTGTGTCACCTTTAACAGATGGGTAAGGTTCTGGGCCTTGTCAGGAGAGATCAATTAGTGAGCAGATTGTTCTGGTAGATTACTTAGTACAACCACCTAAGGTCCATGGCAGACCAAAGGTTGATCACCCTGATCGCCGAGTGGTCCCCCGGACTTTCCTTTCTAGTTCTACTAGATCGGATGTACCCAATAGGTTTAGGAGGTCTCCAAAAGAAGACAGACCTTCTAATCCCCATGATGAGCTACACTCTAGGGGTCGCATTCAGACTCCACCTTTAGATGAGGTAAATGTGAGACGCCAAAAATCCCACGCCTCCTCATCTGGGGTGAAGAAAGAATGGAGACCCAAGGTGGCGGCTCGATCAATGGTACACTCTTCCCCTGCTACCCATGTTGATCCCAATGGCAAAGGGAAAACACCCATGGAAGTCAATAGTTATGAAGAGTATCACCCTTCCTATGTCAACCCTTCAACAGGAAAAATCATTGAAGAAATAGAGTATTTGAAAGATAGCCTTAAGAAGATTGATGAGGATGAGAAGAGGGAAATGGAGGAAAAGGAGGAAGAAAATCACAAAAGATTGATTAAGAATTTTAATCCTAATGAGGATGATCTTATGAATGAGGAGGATATCTT